ATCCTCCTATTCCCAGGGATGTGATTCTCGTGTCAGAACTGGACATCATGCCCAAAGGAGACGCTTCAGCGGCTTGTCCTCCTGCTCAGGGCTAAAGGGACGCGGCTGTCATCGCCGGGAGGGGAAGTGGGGCAGGAGCCCAAGAGGAACTGGAACTAGGATGCTCTTGCCCTGGCTCTGGCTCTTACATCACCGGCCCCTCGCTGGCTTTCGTCCCTCCCTCCCTCCTCTCTGCCTTTCTTCTCCTGCACCAAGGCACCCCAGCCAGTCACCCCCACCCGCCCCTCCCGCACCACGCCCCCCTCAGGCCCTGGGTGGTGGGCGCCGGAGGCCTCTTCCTGAGGGAGACGGGACAGAGGCCCCAGAAGGGTTAGAGGTCAAATGCTCACGGAACTGATCTACAGCTAACAGTGTGTGTGTGTGTGTGTGTGTGGCAAGTTACCACATTCAGTTCTCTGGGCATTTTAAGACTCAACAAGAAATTCCAGGCAGCCGTTCAGCATCCTAAGTGAAATAAAAGAGATCTGTTAAAAAACAACAGAGTTGCTGGGCGTGGGGTAGTGCACGTGTGTAATCCCAGCACTGGGGAGGCTGAGGCAGGAGGATTGCCGTAAGATCGAGGCCAGCCTGGGATATACAGTTAGTTCAGGGGCAGCCTGAACTATACAGCAAGACCCTGTCTCAAAAAAAAAACCAAAAACAAAAACAAAAAAAAAAAACAAAAAAACAGCCCGACAGACTCATGTACCTGAATGCTATGGCACATGCCTGTAATTCCAGCTAGTTGGGAAGCTGAGGCAGTAGGATTGCAAGATCAAGGGTAGCCTGGGCAATTTAGCAAGACTGTCTCTCTCTCTCTCTCTCTTTTTTTTTTTTTTTTTTGTCTTTTTGAGACAAGATCTCGGTCTGTCTCAAAATAAAAAGTAAAAAAGGGCTGGGGTTCAATCACCAAGACTGCATACTAATAACAATAGCAACAAAATAACAACAATAACTTCAAAAGATGAAACAAGGAAACAGGAGGAACAACAGGAGCTGTGGGTGGTGGTGCACACCTATAATTCCGGTGATTGGGAGGCTGAGGCTGGAGGATCGCCACAAGTTTGAGGCCAGCCTAGGCTACACAGTGAGTACAAGGCCAGCCTGCTGCACTACACAGCAGGACCTTGTCTTTAAAAATACAAACAAACAAACAACACAGAAAAGATCTTGATGTTGCCAGGCTGGGTGCATGCTCTTCCCTGCCGCAATCCCACCCCTGATCAGGGCGTGAGATTTATTTACCTATTTATTTAACAGTACTGGGGACTGACCGAAGCACCTCTGCCCTGAGCTACATCCTCAGCCCTTTTTAAATTTTGAGGCAGGGTCTTGCTAAGCCACTAAATTCCCCAGGCTGGGCTCAAAATTTTGATCCCCCTGCCTCAGCCTCCCCGAGTATTGGGGTCACAGGTGTGGACCCCCACGCCTGGTGAGCACGTGAGTTTTGAGCTTCTCCTCTGCCAACCTGGGGGCGTTCACCCCTCTAGGACGACCTGATGGTGTTCTGCTCCTGGGGTGTCACAGCGTTTGACACCACACTCAGTGTACACATCCAACCTGCATTGCACATTACACCCCCAAACTCCTGGGCTCCATCGATCCTCCTGCCTCAGCCTCCCAAGTAGCCGGAACTCCAGGCACCATCCTGCCTGGCCATTCTCTTCCCCTCTCATCTCCTTGTCTTCCCCAGCGCCAGGCACTGAAGCCAGGGCCTTGCACAGGCTGGGTAAGTGCTCTCCCAGCCTGAGCTCGGCCCTCCCTGGGATTTAACGTCTCAAAGCTCCTTCTGGTCCTCTAAGTGTTTGCAGAGAGCCACACTGTTATTTTATGAATGGAAATGTCTTTTACATAACTCTAAATATATTCACTAGAAGGGGAAGTTTTTTTTTTTTTTTTTGCTGCTTGAAGGATCGCTATCTTCTCAAAGTTCCTTTTTTCTTGCTATTTTAAACTCTTTCAGATCGAATCTTTACTCAAATCCGTGGTGATCCTTGACTCTTGGTTCATGTTTAGCAGCAAGATAGCAGGCCGTTCAAAAGCCCCTGTGTGAATGGGAGGGGACTTGACACACCCGGGTCACCTGAAAGGGGGTCACTGGGGTTCCCACAGTGTTAGGGTGTAGAGATCTTTCCTCCTGGGACGCTCAGGTCTCTTAAGGAGTCCTAGTTATGTACTTACTTACTTGATTTATTTATTTTGAGACAGGCTCTCACTGTGTAGTCCAGGCTAGCCTTGAACTCACTGTAATCTTCCTGCTTCAGCCTCCTGAGTGCTAGGATTCCACACATGCCATAATATGTCCTGGTTCCTCCCTAGACTTCTATACTGGATCAAAGTATCAAATCTGTATATAAAATAAAGATGTGTTAAAAGCTTTGCTTTCTGAAGATGTCCTACAGCAAAACAAGAGCATACCCCAGCATGGTGGTGCATGCCGGTCATCTCAGCACTTGGGAGGCTGAGGCAGGAGGGTTTCCCCAAGTTTGAGGCCAGCTTGGGCTACACAGAGAGTTCAAGGCCAGCCTGAAGTACAAAGTGAGACCCTATCTCAAAAAGGCAGAAAAGAAAAGGAAAAGTGAACAGAAAGAACAGTAAAGTCAAGGCAAGTCTGAGGAAGGATTGCTCAGAAGAGGAATGCAAGAGTCTGCTGGAGGGAGTGAAGGACTGGGTGAGGGGTGTAGCTTGGCAGTACAGCACGCGGTCAGCACAGGGGCCCTGGATTCGAGCTCCAGCATGGCAAAAACAAGAAAGAAAGAAAGAGAGAAAGAGAGAGAGAGAGAGA